TATACAGTTTAAAATCATGTACTGTTTAGATGAACAAGATAAATTTTATCAATTAATTGTTTCATTTCATTTTTTAATTTAATCAACTTTTATAATTTTAAAAAATTTAAAAAAAAGCTAACCATTCATGTTCCTAATTCCATGTTACAAATGAAATTGATTAAACTATTTTCACTAGTCTGAATCTTTTTATTTAGTTCATAATTTAAGAAAATTAAAACAACATACATTTTTTATAAAATTATTAATGTAAACCGTTATACGAATACAACCGGTCGTTACTAGATAATGAAACTGAAAGTTTGCAAAATTTATATCTTTTTCCTTTTAGAGACGAAGGTTTGCACAGGTATAAATGCTACCTTTATCGTTTAGCTTGACAAAAACTTATGCCAGCACCTCATAATTTTCATAACTAAGTGTATAATTTTTAATACTTATAGTGAATAGCAATAAAAATAATATGCTATAAAAGAATTTTCGATTCCATTGCAGTTAAAGTAATTCAGATAACACGTTGGTACATGTATAGTTTGTTCGTATTACGCTCGGCACATTATGTATATGTATGAGCACATCATGTAGTTGTAATCGTCCTAAACACAGGTTATGACCGAGAATTAAAATTTCGTGAAGCAAAATTCAAAAACCTGCAGCCTTGAACTCTACTAGCTTGTGAGTAAAGCATTAAACAAATTTAAAATAGCAGAAAATTTTTACTGGTTAATGTAAGAAAAACCTCTGCTGCTGTACTGTAAAAATTCCAATTTTTATTATTCAGTAACTTTAAGCAGCACTGTTTCTTTACTAGCACTGATAAAAATAAATTTTTACCCTTGTAAACCTCTTTCAGTGTTCACTTTCCTTGAATGGCCTCTTCTATTGCAAAGTGTATTAAAGAAGCTACGCAAGAAAGTAAGGAAAAAACGGACGAAACAAACACCAATTTTTTTTCCGAATTTTAGTTTCGTGTTTTTTTCTAAATTTTTGTGTTATGACAAGATATATGACAGATATTTATATTATTGTGGCTTACAATATTCGTACTCCAGAACACATGACGTAAAAAAAAAAGAACTGACGTTTTTAACCTTCATTTCGAAAACGTGACCTGCGCTAATATCAATTAGTAAAACTAAATCGTACACTTTCCTATTTTTACTGTTAGATCTATCATGTACCTGCTGTACATGGTTTTTTAAGGTTAGTAACTCTGCTTTTTTTTAAATACAATTTTTAAATAAAACTATCTAAATTTTTTTATTAATCATTCGTTCATTAATAATTGTAAATATTTTTCGTATACAAGCCACATGATCTTTGTCATCAACCGCTAATATTTTTTACTTTTAAATCTTCAATAACTTCCAATTAAATCATAGCTACGTGATTATAGCTTAAACGAATCATTTTAGAAGTAAATTGCTTCATTCAAATTGATTCCTTTTTTCATGTAGAATTTTATCTTTTTCAAAGACATAAAAATTAATGTGCACACGATAAAAATATAAATTAAAATTTTATAACAACTGTCTGAAACTACAATCATCAATTGTAAATTAAAATAATTATTTTTATAATTTATTATCTATTCTATTTTACATATCTTATTAAAAAGAGATAAATAGTTAGATAACAAGAAAGATGATTAGGGGAAAATTATATTTACGTCGTTTTATAGAACAATCTACATCTAAAATAAAAATTATCATATGTTATCTGGAAGCAATATTAATGGATACTTAAATTTTTTATCGATGACAGACCATATCAATTGACACCAATTATAATTTAGATACCACGACTTTAAGCAATCGCATAACTGATAGCACACGATAACTATTGCAGCTGTGCGAACATCTTAATTAGCTTGAAGAATTAAAAGATAATTAGTGTAAGATAAAATGAATGAGTTATTACTTGACATAAAAAATAAGGATTTATTTTTTCAAACACATTACAGATGAAAATATACTTTGGAAGCATCAATAAAAAATATTCGAATTAATTTTTTGGCTCGTGATTCTTAATCTTCATACATCAGATCAATAACTCCAGAATGTAAAATTTAACAATTTTTTATACAAAACTGATTATAACTTGTTACAATAATTATTCTAAATATCTGTAGCTAAATTTATGGAGTAATATTCCAAGATAGTTTTCCGTCGCCATCTCCGATCTAAAAAATAATGTTTTATGAATAAGTATAATTTCTAATTCTTTTGGATAATGTAAAATTACTTAAGTAATTAAATACCTTTTTCGTGAAATTGTCAATGCAAGCCATACGAATCCGAGCTGCTGTTGCTGGTGAATCAAATCTCAAGTACTCTCTTGCATTCATATCTTTTCTTGATGCTTTGATAGCATTTTTTATTGCGAAGAACACTGATGAGGCTAAGAATAGTGGAGGTTCACCAACAGCCTAAAAAATTACTTCTATACATATTATGTTTTCATTAAACTTAAAATAAGATAGGTGCGTGACAAATGAAAGGTAACTTGATAAAACTAAAAAAAATCAATAAATTTAGTTTTGGAACTAAAAAATTTTGATCTTATGTTGACTACAATCCAAGATCTTTAGAAATCATGAATTGACTTTCTGATCACTTTCTTTTGATTAGCGCATTCGCGAATTGTCAACTTTTATAATGTTTACGAAATTTAAAAAGGAGCTCATAACTTCTTCTTTCTAATGGATGTAATATTTTTTACGGAACATTTTACAGTAATTATAGTAATAAGTTGGATAGTTATTCAGTATAAATATTGATAGAATGATTTACAATTTTTTAGACATGTTTTTACTACATAATACTAAAGTGGTCAAATATTCTTGTATTAAAGTAACATACATTATTTGAATTTGTATTTAAATTATACAACAATAAAAACTTAAAAATAGTTTTAAATAATGGACCATTGTAACTGAAGTCTCAAGCCCAATTTAGTGTTGAAAATATTTTACAAAATAATTATAACTAAGTTTTAAAATAATTATAACTAAAAAAAACATGTTAATGTATGTCATCTATTTTAAGTATGTTAAAAAAAAATTAGATAAAAATAGGTTAATAGAACGTAATTATCTTCAAAAATATCAGAGAATCAACCTTTTTTTTACATTTATTGAAAACAAAAAAAAAAAAAAAATAAGCTCAGCAATTAGTGGTTTCTAACCTTAGATGAATAAACTGCTCGTGGATTAGAGCTGCCTTTTAACAGGGATACATTGAATTCTTGCGGAATATCTGCAAAACTAGGAATTTTGTAAACTCCTGGGCCACGACTATAAATTACTCCTGTCGGAGAATAGATCATTTCCTCCATGGTAAAAAGTCCATATCCTTGAGTAAATGCCCCTTCCACCTGACCAATATCTATTGCAGGGTTTAAACTCTCACCCAAGTCCATGACAATATCGGTTCTCAAAATCTGTAATTAAGAGTAAGTATTGGGCAAACATTTGTGTACACAGTAAAAAAGTTTGTGATGCGTTACCTGATGATCTCCAGTTAAACAATCTATTTGCACTTCAGAGCACGCAGCTCCGTATGTAAAGTAATCATACAACATTCCGGAATTTTTACTGAAATCGTACCCTATATCCGGCGTTCGGTAAAATCCAGTAGCAGAAAGACTAACTCGATCGAAATAAGCTTGTTCTATCCAACTTTCCCAAGTACCATTAGGATGTGCGTCAACTATGTACTTTATTCTTTGCATTATTTTATTACATGCATCCTAAAATAATAAAAAAATTCTCTGTCGATACTTGAAGTGTTGAAAGACATAAAAATATACGTCGAATCTTTTATATTCAACAATTCAAACACATTAAACCATTATAGCCATTCCATTTAAATCGGACCCAGTGCTGGCAGCCGTTGCTGTTGTATTCGGCACTTTGTCAGTGGCAGTTTCTGTTATGTGAATTTTATCAGGATTAACCTTCAAAACTCGACTGGCAACCTGCAAACGGCAATGAAAGTAAACACAATTGGATTTTTATTCCAATCAAAGCAAGGAATTAGCCATAATTCTTTTTTTCCCTTCTTACTTGAATCATCTTAGTGTGAACTCCTTGTCCCATTTCTATACCACCATGCGTCAAAAGAACCGAACCATCCGTATAGACGTGTACGAGAGCCCCACCTTGATTGAGGAACAACGTTTCGAAACAGATACCAAATTTCGTTGGAATCACTGCTATACCCTTCTTTTTGTACCGGTTCTCTCTGATAATAATTGTACAAACTAAGTCCTTGGTTTTTAGTTTCATTCAGAATTAGCGTGTGCGACGCTTACTCACTTATTATATTGTTCAACCAATGGTAACCGTTGCTGATAATTGGATAATGCTATACACTCCTCCCAACAACGTTTTATCGTACAGTTAATAAGTGTTTGGTTGTAATGCGTTACGTCTCCTTCATTGTACAAGTTCATTTCCGATAGCTGGAAAATATATACCAACGTGAAAATTATTTAGTTCATAATGGCGTTAATCTCATAAAATTTTTACCTCAATGACATCTCGTCCAAGATAATCCGCCACGTGATGAATTATCGTTTCACCCGCAAACATCGCTTGAGGACCACCAAAACCTCGAAAAGCCGTATTGGATGGTAAATTGGTTTTGCACAAGTACCCAAAAACTCTGATGGCTGGTATGTGATATGCGTTCTCCACGTGTGTCATAGCTCGGGATACAGCCTGTAAAAACCTTGTGTAGTTCGTGATTGTGAAAAATCTTTTTAATAAATCATGTTCATTGTCACTAATCATTACTGGTATTGACAAATCCATAGAACAGCCTCCATTAGCGTATACGTGGATCTCGAGGGCTTTGATCAATCCGTCGTTGGTGAAGCCTACTTTGTACTTGAATAAAAATGGATGTCTCGTTCCAGTCATCACCATATCTTCATCCCGATCCAACATGCACCGAACAGGCTTTTGTAGGCTATGAATGTATTCAATGTTCATCCATTAAACGTTAAAAAAAATGAATCCAATCATTCATTAACTAAATAGTATAATACCTGTGAGCCGCAAATGAAACCGGCAGTGAAATAAGCAAATTCCGTGACTCCTTACCCCCAAAACCACCGCCCAATCTCTTGACACGTACGGTAACTCTGTTGATCGGAATGCCAAGCATGTGGGCGACGTGATGTTGCGTACCCGATGGATCTTGCGTCGAGCAATAGATTTCGAGTTCGTGTTCCTCCTTTGGCACAGCTAGTGCACACTGAGTCTCTAGGTAGAAGTGCTCCTGTCCGCCTATTCTGACTTCTCCATCGATAACATGATCAGCTTTGGCAAAGGCTTCGTCAACATCCCCTCGGCGGATACTCCTGCTAGCGCCTTCGTAATAGGAGTTGGCTTCTATGGCATCCTGGAATTAACGAAATCATTCTTTCTCATCGAAACTTGCTTGATGAAATGAAAAAATTACTAAATATTTCACAGCCTTTCTAACTGTGGTTGTTAGTTACAACAAAATTAGAAATTAGTAACCTCAATGGTCAGGATCGCAGGTTGTACGTCTTCGTAATCAACCTTGACCATTCTCGCAGCTTTCTGGGCAATCGCCTGGTTTTTAGCGACCACTGCTGCAATTACTTGACCGTGACACAAGACCTGAAAATTGAACCAGTGATAAAGACAAGAAAACATATGTTTGATTTGTCCGCATACGAATTAACACTCACATCTTTCGAAGCAAAAATTTCTTCGTCTTTGACAATAGGTCCAACGTATCGTTGGTGCTCTGGAATATTTTTGGCATCGAAATAGGCCACCACACCATCAAGAGACAAAGCTTTAGTTGCGTCGATCCTGGTTATCCTGGCACGAGCACGCGTGGATAGTACGAATGCTAGATAAAGTTCGCTCGTAATTCGAGGGATGTCATCGCAATAAATGGCCTCACCGGTTGCCTGTTTGAACGCACTGGTGTGAACTAATGGCCTCCCAATCAAATCGATACCTGGTTGATTTTTGGAAACCTGTTAGAAGTGCAATACTTTTATGAATGTTGTTTCGAAAAATTTTAGATATAAAATGTTTTTTCTGATTCAGTCTAGATCTCACCACTTGATAGTATTGCGAACTCTTTGGAGCTGTATAATGAAATCCTTCGGCTGCCGATTCCAGTTCTTTCGGCAATAACTTTGCACTTTGTACATTGTTTCTCAACTCTTTGGCTATGTGAATGATGCCTTTGAAAAATAAACTAAAAACAGTATAATTACTTGATGTATTGAGATCCATTAAACATTTTTTCCTGTGATGGCTTACCTGAGAGTTAACGATCGCCGATAGAGTATCATACCTCCAGGGGCATCTCCGGACAGAGGCAGTTCTTTGCTCAGTGTATCAATGATAGTATCAATATCATCATCGAGCCAACGCCTGTGCAATTATTGGAACATTGTTGGTAAATATGTGTGCTATGCGCATTTTTTAGATCACATAATATTTCTACACTAACTTTCCGGCCATGAGTTCACAGGTTTTTTTAGCCCACACGGTAATGGGAGCCATACCTCCAAAAGTCAAAAACGCTCGATCTACGATATCACTGTCGTTTTTGAAAAATACGTTCATCGCCATATTAACGATGGTAATATCATCGTCCCGTCGTTTCGATTGTTTGTACGATACGAAATATTGGTTCTAGAAAAATATTCTATATAAATATCTATTATGTCATGGCTACAATGAATTCATGCGTTATTAAAGATTGATCAAATTACCGAAACACTGAAGGGTATTTCTATCGATACAAGTACTTCATCGGATGATATTATGTTGCGTCGGTAGCCAACAAAGAATTTATCGTCCATTCTGATAGCTCTATAACCCCTGTTAATACTGCACACGGTTAATTGGACACCCGCGACCATGAAAATCGGATTTAAATCGGAAATGGGACTGCCCGTCATGATATTACCTCCTACAGACTTGGGAAAGAAAAAACTAAGTCAGAGTGGAGTTATCGTGGCAGGATTTTAAGATATTTAACGTTATACACTGAAAAATGTTTCTTTGGAATACTTTAAAGGTTATGTTGTAGAGGACTATATTTTTTTGATTTTTTTTCTGCTCATGATAAAATTTCATACCGTTTTTCACTTTTAAAATAAGCTGTTGAATGCTCATTATAAATTTTAGGGTCATTTTGATATTGCATCATGAAATCAAAATCTTACACCGTAATAATGAGTATACAGGTTATAACGATGTAAAGTTTTGACTCCATTATGCAATATAAAATAGCCATAACTCCTAGAGAACCATTGGACACCTCATGTTAACAAAGAAGAGTGGTACTACATGATACAGCAAGTAGAAAAGACCAAAAAAACTTAAGGGGTCAATTCAACGCATCATAAGTTTTGTATATTTTAAGTATAATGTGTGTAACCTCTAAGGTACTCCAAAAAATCATTTTACAGTGTAAAATCTCGAAAACATCAAAATACTGGCTAACCAAACCCATTCGTAGATTGATCGTAGACTTAGCAAAAAACAAAATTGTTTAAGAAACAACCCCTGGCTACCCACCAATAATATTAACCAAAATTTTTGTTAATCTGTGTTATATGTACATTCAATGATTGATGAAGCATTAAAATACTCACTGCAACGTTTCGAACTTGCTTACTAGCGAACCAGTGCAACATATTTTTAATACTTTGAAAAATCCTGGTTTTACTCTCTAAAAGTAGTATTTTGATGAAAATCAATCCATTTTCTTTTGGGTGATAACAAACAACCACTACTATTACCATGCTTTGTATTAATCTGGTATGTGAGGGCCGATTCCATTTCGGCCAATGTAACACTAGCTCCGATTTTCATCCCATCATTGGTTTCTTCGATAACTTTCAATGCGTCGATTTGTATTGGTTGAACCAGAACGGGATACATGAGACGTTTCACCTTTACCTCCACGCCTTTTGTAAATTTTTTGAAACGGTAAGTCACAAGTGCGACATAAAGGAATAATCTTTTTCGCCTTACCCACTTCCGTGTTGCCAACGACTATTCTCGCATTTGGATATTGATTTTTCAGTACAAGGAGCTGCTTCAAGCTCGTCGGTCGGAACCAGGTGGTCTCTTTCCCTCTGATTATCAAGTACTCTTCATCCAATTTCGATGACAACTAGAAACATTTGAGTTAATTTATCATCAACGCACCATTAAATGACATAATGTATTGATGCTCACCTGCAATTGGGGAGGAAAAATCGGCTCTTGCGTGGAGTCGTAGGGTACGAACTCCTTCGAGTGGAACAGTTCCGTGGGCTCGGAGGTGAAAGCCCTTTTGCAGCAGGCGCTGCCAAGAGCACATACTTTTTCCTCCTCGTGGTCCTCGCTCGTCAAGGATTGCGTAGCTTCCCACTCACTGGTGAAGGTTTTTAATCCTTCGATGATCGGTCGGTACCCGGTGCATCTGCATAAATTACCTATACGTCGAAAAGCCGCGAGATTTTTTAGCAATGTATGTGGTGAAAGATATTATTTGGTTAATTTCTCATGAAACCGGACAAAAACTCGCACCTTGAAAGGCAACATCCATATCGTTCATTTTCGGTTTTGAATTGCTCCTCAATAGAGCATACATGGACATGACGATGCCAGGAGTGCAAAAACCACATTGGGATCCGTGAGCTTTTGCTATTCTCTCCTGTACAGGATGTAGTTTGGTTCTAGTACTACCGATACCCTCGACAGTAGTGACGGCCATGCCGTGCATTGCACATACTGGGGTCAAACAAGCATTTGCTGCTACATGACTGTATTTCTTTGGTTAAGAATATGATGTTATTGTAATCGTATCATTATTGTTTTTTATATTTTTTATGGTGTTTCGTGGCATAGCAACGAAGACTGGATTAAAGAATGAGTACAAAAGTCCACTGAAATAGATTCAAGCGATTATAATGAAAAGAAATACTTATTTGGTCGAAATCAGCAAAGATATTGGTTTAACTGGTTTTAATGAAGTGAAAAAGTATCAACAACACGGAACGTGGAAGTTGTGTGAAACACGTATCAGCTTTCATGGTCGCATCAGTCGCATGGTTGATGATTACACTGCATGTGGGATTTCGCTAACTAGTTGCGTTTGATACATATTTACTTGTTAAAAACACTTTATGCAACTGGTAACGGCTGAGTAAAGCTATTAGGCCTCGTATAAGGCTCTGCATTATCGTAACTTTTATACTCATAAAGAATTTTTTAATTTGAAAATATTATAGGAAAATTTTTTGCACTAAAAAAATTACTCATATTTAATGAATGATTCAATGAAAAAATATTTGTGAATAGTTCAATCGTGCCATTGATACTTACATTGAATAGATATTGAGTTACTTTACTATCTATTTTTTTCTAACTTTTGATACTTCCCAAGAGAAAATTATTTCAGTGAATAACTAATAATATAATTGATAGCCGGTAATAAAAATGTATAAAGTCCAGATTTTAAACTGAGAATAAGATTTAACTGTTATTATTTGTCATTATCCATCTCATTCTAAGTGACATCAATAAAAAAATATAATAAAAAAAAATGATACTAATTGTTATGAACTTTAAGTAACTAAAGTTGTAACTTGTAACATCTATTTGATTAGTAACTGATAAAATTGTTTATAAATTAAAATTTATTTTTTATGAAAATTATTAATTGTCGTTATTTAATGACAGAATTAGGTCATATTTTGAAATTCAGAACTTACGAACAAAAGAAATAATAATAACTGATAGAAACTATTGAAAAGATTTACCGATAGCATGTAGTATAGATATAGATCAATCATAAATATTATTAGAATATTAAATCTGTACTTTATTAATTTTTATTTTTAGTTTTTATTCGCTATTTTTTTTTACAAATAATTGCATGAATGAGCTTAATTTTCCTCGAGTTAGAAACAAATTCTTAATCCATTACTTATTGATGCTCGGAAATTTGCTTGTATTCAAATCTATATTAATTAACAATGAATAAATATGACTTAAATACAATTAATCTTTTCTACTGGTGGTCAAAAAATATTTTAAAATTTTCTTAAATGTTTTATAAAAATCACGTGTTGCAGACAAATCAATGAATTTCAATCAAAGTAATAGTTACAATGATTTTAATGGGTTGACAACTACCATATTTCTAATCAACAAAGTAATTGCTCAAGGATACACTATTTTTTCGAGTTTTCGATCGTATCTGGAAATCATTACTGTGCAGGCGCCGCAATTTCCTTCGGAACATCCCAGCTTCGTACCAGTCAGTCCTACTGCACCTTTTTGTCAAGGAAAATATTTATTCACCAAGTATTATGAGATACTGCAGTCATACGCTTCAAAGGATACACTTGTTACGAAGATAATAAATCAGAGTCCACTCTGGTTCGATATAACTGTCTTTTACCTACAAAATTTAAAATGTGAATAATTTTTAATTGTTTGTTTTACAACAAATCTCAACAAATGTTTACTAAGTCGCACATTTCACTCATTCAACTTTTCATTATGCAATGTTGCATTGTAAACTGAAACCATACACGCACATCATACATTATAAGAAAAAACTGCGCGTTTGCATCTCAAGATATCAAATGTATCGTATATGCATGTACAGGTATAGAATAAGCGCATTTGCCTTTTTTTCCCCAACTCGATATCCATTACAGTGAATGACCCGTCTCTGAATATCGGTATTGCGTACAGTCGCGTTTACTCGTTACGAAATGAGTTTTTAATCCAACTACCTATAAATACGTAATAATGTATTGTTCAAAAAGCTGTGCAGGCATTGACATATATATTTTCCACGAGTATGGTTATTTTCCCAATGGACATTTGACGAGAAAATTAAAATCCTCACCATTTTACCGTTCACGTAAAAAATCAAGCAGTTGCTGATGTTTTCCGGTTGACGAGAACTCGTTTGGTTTTCCTCGACGTAAATAACGTCGCACTGATCATTTACCTCCATGTTTATCGAAATATCATGAATGCGCGTAAAAGCAAAAATGTAGTTTGAAAACAACTTGGCTCTTTTATCGGGCAAATAAAAAACGAAACAAAGTACTCGTAGCCGTCAAGTTTCGTAACCATTATCGGCTCGAATCGGCAGGCAGACTAATGCAACCGCGCCGCGGCATCGTCCCTCTTAGCGTGTATTATTCCACTAACCAGCTGGTGTATGTACTCTCTCTTGGACGAGGCCTTCCGACGTAACTGACGCTTATAAAGCTGCGTCCCCAATGGAGTGATGATAATTTCTCTCGTGTGCACTTACCAACTAAAACTTGCGAAAGTTGCAAGTTCCCGTATACCTAGTAAGAATGTTGTGTTTTTCAAGACTCGGTGTGACACCACTAGAGTGCAGTCGAGTGCCTGCGATAAATTAATATGCATGAAGGTATACATGTAGTTTGGCCATCGATCATTTGCGGGACGAAGGACATGACGAAGAGAGAGACAAGTAAATTCTATAGAAGCCCCCGTTGGAGCGATAACTAAAGCGTGACGATGAGAGCTGCAGTAGCCTAACAAGTTTTACAAACGAGACAACTATGGTCTCGAAGCTGAAGTTGCTTTTGCAATGTCATAGCATAAACATAAATCTACCTGTTTGAGTATGATTTAAAAGCATATCAAAACTTTCGTTCGAATTTTACTATAATTGTTTATTTCACGTATATTATGCTACAATGTCTTTTTTTTTTGTTACATAACTTTTTATTACCAAGCAAAAGAAGTCGTATATCTAGTAAACATTATACACCGTTCTCTGTTTGTCTTGAAGATATTAAAGAATTTTTTTTTCTTTGTAAACAATTGTATAATCATGTAACTATTAATGTATATATGTATAAGTAAGTACAAACAATAAATTGTTCCCGTATTTGCATGCGTTTCGACGTAAATCAGGGAACGATATTCCACGGTCTCTTTGCATCGCCATCTCCAATCTGAAATACACAGTCGCGTGATTAAACCATTTTATTAACGAATTAACGAACAGCATTTTACCTGTTTTGTTATGTGATCGACGCACGCCATACGAATGCGAGCCGCCGTTGCTGGTGAATCAAATCTGAAGTGCCCCTGGACACCCACATCCTTTCGGGCAGCTTTGATGGCTTCTTTGATGGCGAAAAATACCGACGACGCCAAAAATAACGGCGGCTCACCTACAGCCTATAAAAAATAAATAAAACCTTTCGATTAAAACGCATCGATGATTTTGAGTGAAAAAAATCGATTAATAGTGTCCATCAGGTGTAACAATTGTATTATTACCTTTGAGGAAAATACTGCGCGTGGGTTGGACGAGCCTTTAAGTAACGAAACGTTGAACTGACGTGGAATATTCGTGAAGCTGGGTATTTTGTAGACCCCCGGTCCGCGGCTGAACACCACCCCCGTGGGTGAATAAACCATTTCTTCCAGGGTGAATAATCCATATCCTTGCATGAATCCACCCTCAACCTGACCGATGTCTATCGCTGGGTTCAAGCTCTCTCCGAGATCCATGACGATGTCGGTTCTCAAAACCTGTGACAAAACAAACATTTTCTCTTGCGGTGTGTATAGGTAATCTATGATTCCTTGTTCCAGTTCGTCACTGGTGAACGCACCTCGTGATCTCCCGTAAGACAATCGATTTCCACTTCCGAACAAGCGGCACCGAATGTGTAGTAATTGAAACGTTTTCCCGAATTTGTTACGAAATCGTAGCCAATTTCCGGAGTACGGTAGTAACCAGTTGCCGAAAGGCTTATCCTGTCCAAATACGCCTTCGTCACCCAATCTTCCCAAGTACCATTTGGATTTTCGTCGATGATGTATTTGATGCGGTTCATGATTTTTGTGCAAGCATTCTACAATTTTTATGACTATGTGGTTGTACGTTTTTTGGTAATTTTTTTTTTTTTAATCTTAAATTATAATTATTGACATACCAAAACGGCCATTCCGTTGAGATCGGATCCTAAACTAGCTGCCGTTGCTACGGTATTCGGGACTTTGTCCGTACATGTTTCTGCAGTGTAAATTTTTTCAGGCTTCACTTTTAAAACTCTGCTTGCCACCTGATAAAGAAGAATATTTTTTTTTTTTTTTAATTATTTTATTCATAGTTTTTTTATGCCATTAAATTATCAAAACCTTGAAATTGTCTTGCTCAAATTTAAAATTACAGTTTATTTGTTGTGAAATTTAATATCTAAAACAAGTATAAATTATAGATAACGACTTAGATTATTTTCATCGATAGTTCCTGTACAAAAAATGTGACAATGCACGCAAAAAATGGACAATCACTTACCTGAATCATTTTTGTGTACAATCCTTGGCCCATTTCAACTCCACCGTGGTTCAAAAGAACAGAACCATCCGTGTACACGTGAACAAGGGACCCACCTTGGTTGAGAAAAGACACCTCATAGCCAATGCCAAACATCACTGGTACGACGGATAAACCTTTCTTTTTGTACCTGCTATTCCTGATAAAAGAAAAAATGATGTCCATAAATGACTTTGTTCTACATTTTGAAATTTAATGAAAAATAACTGTCTTACTGATTGAATTCATTCACAGCAATTTGACGCTCTTTGTATTTTGCCGAGTGCAAACATTCGTCCCAACATCTTCTAAGCGTACAGTTCTCTACTGTTTGATTATAGAAAGTTTTATCTCCTTCTTTGTACAAATTTAGTTCTGCGATCTAATGAACAAATGACAAGCACAAAGTTATATTATGTGTAACTAGCTGAAGGCTACTTTAAATACGTGTACAACGTCAAACACGGACTATTTCTCGTTGATTTTTTCAAACAGATAATATACCTCAACGTAGTCTCGTTGAAGGTGATCAGCAACGTGCTGAACAATGTTTTCAGCACAAAACATTCCTTGGGGTCCGCCAAAACCTCTAAAGGCCGTATTAGATGGTAAATTGGTCTTGCACATGTAACCTACGACTTTTGCAACCGGAAATTTGTAACCATTTGTAAAGTATAACATTGCGCATTCGAGTACCTATTAAATAAAGAAAAAGGATAATTATAAAAATCATACTCTATCGAACATCCATATGGTACGGCATATTTTTTTCATAAGGAAATCCATACCGCTGTGGACAAATCCGTAGAATAGCCACAATTACTGTAAAGGTGAGCTTCGGCTGCCGTTATTAGTCCTTCATTGGTAAAACTCACTTTGTACCTCATTAGGAAGGGATGTCTCGTACCAGTTATCATCATATCCTCATCGCGATCCAACACACATCTGACCGGTCTTCGCAATCTAAGGGTATCGTGCAAGATCGCCATGTCATCAGATAAAAACTATAAGTAGCTCACATTTGTTTGATTTAAGTAATCATTAGTTTATGATTTAATCTCACTTGTAAGCTGCTACGGCCACTGGTAAAGCCACGAGGGCCTCTCTCGTCTCTTTTCCTCCAAATCCACCTCCTAATCTTTTCACTCTAATGTTCACCCTGTTAATGGGAAGATCCAGAACATGGGCCGTAAGTTTTTGGATCGCCGTTGGGTTTTGCGTCGAGGAGAAAAGCTCAAGCTCACCCTCTTCTCTGAAATTCGCCAAAGCCGACTGGCTTTCCAAGTAAAAGTGTTCCTGACCCCCAATCCTTATTTCTCCCTCCACAATGTTCTCAGCTTTTGCGAATACTTTATCAACGTTTCCGTTGGATACAACAATCGGTTCTGCAAAGAAGGACTCGGCCTCTATGGCTTCCTACGAAGATTAACTGATTTATTCACGTTCTATCTGAAGTTTAAAAAAAAAATATGTCATTTTTTCCTGATTGACGTACCTCGATTGTAATGATTGGCTTGAGCTCTTCGTACTCAACTTTGACCAACTTAGCTGCTTTCTGCGCAGTGACTTGATCCACTGCAACTATTGCACCAAGTGTTTGCCCTTGGCTCGTGACCTGAGATCAGATTAATCGGTGAATTCACTTTTAGTCTTAGAAACTAGACTTTGACGTAACAATTTTAAAAATAATACCATCTTCGAAACGAAAACCTCTTCATCGTACTTTATCTGTCCAATGAATCTTCTGTGCTCCGGTATATCTTTTGAATCTACGAACGCTTCGACACCCTCCATAGCCAAAGCTGCTGATGGATCGACATTGATAATCTTGGCGTGAGTTTTCGTAGATAAAACGAAAGCCAAGTACAATTCCCCAGATATTTTTGGTATGTCGTCTAAGTATATGGCTTCGCCGGCTGCTTGCTTGTATGCGTTTATGTGAACTATGGGCCGACCAATTAAGTCAGTATCGACTTGATCCTTTGGTGCCTGGAATGAAATGTTGTAACACCTCGTTTATGCTAAGATGTAGGAATGGTATTAAAATGGTACGCACCACTTGAAAATATTGAGAACTACTTGGTGGCTGATACTGAAAGCCATCACCGGCATTTTCAAGCTCTTTTGGTATGGGGTCCACATCGTGGATGCTGTTTCGTAGTTTTTTCGTTATGTACACGAAACCTTTGAAGAATAAGCTGGAATACCGTGGCAGTGTGTGATTGTGAGTTTCATGAATCTCTTTGTTAATTTATTAATTTACACAATATATCACCTCAGAGTAAGCGAACGCCGATATAAGACCATACCACCGGGTGCGTCACCTGATAATGGCAATTCGTCGATGAGCATTCCAGTCGCGGTTTCTACTAAATTCTCGTTCCATTTCCTAAAAAAATTGCGTCATTTGAACAAAAAGCAAATTTACCTTGGAACGTAAAACAAATTTCACTCAATTACGAAAATTCAGTGAATTTCAGATAAAATAGAATTATGTTATGATTCTACACGGAACTTTATCATGTTTTTTTTCAATGTATATGAAAATCTACTTCGATAGTTTATATTTCCCGTGTAAAATTCTGGTAGAATTGTTATGGAATCGATATAACCTAATTCTTTGAATCAAAGAAAATTTCTTTACCCTCATTCCGTTAAATATTCTCTTATGAGTAAAAAAATATAAGTTAATTGAAAATAATATTTTATTAAATTAAAATTTTCTTTTTTTAATTACGAATTTCTCATTTAGTTGTACGAAATGTTTTTTTGGACCGACTAAATTTGTTTCAATTAAAAGAAAATATTTAATGGAATGAGGGTGAAGAAATTTTCTTTGATTCAAAGAATTGGGTTGCTCAGGGATAATATTCACATGAAAAAATACTTGTTTCTGCATGTTATCCAAGCAATGTCCCAACAGTTTGTTCGTATATTCTGCAAGGTTCTCTATTACATCTTTTGATTTAAAAAAAGTTGAATTACGTAAAAAAATAACGTAATTTAATTAATGTAATACCAGAAATATTTGAAAAATAGTGATAAATTTAATATTGCAATTAGGGTAATGTTTACATAAATTAATAGAAATACCTGTGGAACATAATTCCTATTTCCTGATTTTCATCGAATTTTGCTAAAAATTTTATTAATGCTTTTAAAGTTCCAAAAAATTTAAATACTTTATTAACGAGAGGCTGCGCCCTCTTGAAGTCAATAAAAAAATCATATAACTCATTCTAAGTCTTTCAAAGAATTAAGACTTTTTACTGGGACTTCAAGAGTGCATATATCTTAAAATCATTAAAAAAGACTTCATAAGTCATTCTAAGTTTTTCGAAGACATTAAGAGTGCATATAACTTAATTGATTAAAAAAGACTTCATAAGTAATTCTAAGTCTTTCAAAGACTTCAGACTTTTTACTGGGACTTCAAGAGTGCATATATCTTGAAATCATTAAAAAAGACTTCATAAGTCATTCTAAGTTTTTCGAAGACATTAAGAGTGCATATAACTTAATTGATTAAAAAAGACTTCATAAGTAATTCTAAGTCTTTCAAAGACTTCAGACTTTTCATTGGGACTTCAAGAGTGCATATATCTTGAAATCATTAAAAAAGACTTCATAAGTAATTTTAAGTCTTTCAAAGAAGTCTCCAAAAGACTTCAGAGTGCGCAGCCCCTCGGTTATTGATTCAATAACGCATAGGATCAAGCCTCATTTGGTGTGAATTTTCACATAAAATCCATCGGAAGTTGATTATTTGAAATTTATCGCAAACATACTTTCCAATCATAGCGTCACACGTTTTCCTAGCTAATATCGTAGTCGGCGCCATGCCTCCGTAAGCCATGTAGGCTTTTGCTACGATGCTTGTGCCCGGCTCGAAGAGGACGTTCATCGCCAGATTCACAATGGCAATATCATCGTCTCGTCTCTTGGATTGTTTGTACGCGACAAAGTATTGATCCTAAAAAAAAAAAAAAAAAAAAAAATTCATGCGTGCTTAGGGCAAGCTTGAGTGGGTCTATCATGAAAAATTTGTCACTTGAAAAATCGTTGACGCACCCGAGTGGAGTAAGGTATTTCAATGGACAATAATACTTCGTCTGTCGCAATGACGTTGCGTCGATAGCCAACAAAAAACGTGTGATCCATCGTCAATGATCTGAATCCCCGTTCAAGGCTGTACACGTTTAATTTAATACCTGCAGCCATCAATACCGGATTCATGTCAGATATAGGACTACCGGTCATAATGTTACCTCCAATGGCCTAAAAAAATTGTATCATTTACACGATTGTCTTCTAGCAAGTAGCTTAGTTTACACATCAAAAATAAAAATAAAATAATTTAAAAAAATAAAAAAGTAAAATAAACTTTTGCACCAAGACTAAAATTTCATCAGAGCAAAAAAAATTATTACTACATCCCTCTAACTGATACAAAATGTTCTATTGATGGTAATTTATTTCCAACAAAAAAGGGATACAATGTTTTATGAAAAAAAAAATGTTTTTGTGAGGTCACACTTTTTTTGCTCTGGCAAAAATATGAGGCACCCTTTAAAAAATATTTATCAACTACTATGCAATAATCATACGACCCTTACAGCAACATTCCGTATCTGTTTGCCAGCAAAATAATTGAGCATTCCGACGATTGATTGAAAGATTCTCGTTTTCCCTTCTGCAAAAAAATCATCCTTACTTCGTAACTCAAATAAATTTTAGAAAAATATCCTGTAAAAATAATAAATCTTGTCATCTCGAGTTACCAGATTTGTTTTTGATTTGTTCAAGCAGTGCCTCTTCCATTTCCACTAGAGTAACACTCGCACCTATTCTAACGGCATGATTCAACTCTGTTATATCACACAACTCTTTTATCCTCGTTGGCTGAATAAGAACAGGATACTTGAACTGTTTGAACTTAACTTCAACGCCTGAAAACAGAAAAAAAATCATGTGCAAAAATGTGGTACAAAATTATGGGTAAAAATATGTATGTACTATTTAAAACAGTCAGCTTACCAACTTCAGTATTTCCAACAATGATCTTGGAATTTGGGTACTGATGCTTTAATGTTAGGATGTCCTTTAGATTCACAGGCCTGTACCACGTGACTTCTTTACCTTTGACAATCAAGTACTCATCATCTAATACGGATGATAGCTGAAGAAAGACAAAATGGAAAAAATAACATGTTTCCGTCGCTATCACCTCTTTACAAAAGTTCAGTTAACTTTATTTGAAAATCCTTGTAGAATATTGATGAAACTAGTACTTTCCTATTATTTCGTATGAATTTTATTTTTAATTAAGTCGGAAATTATTAAAATTTAAAAAAAACCTCATTTACTCATGTTGTTAAGATAATTTTATTCTCAGTTTTTGATGGGATTTTATATTTAAATAGTTAGTGTATGTTGTAGAGAGTCTTAGAGAATCTTCAAAAAAATTATTAAAATGTCACGTAAATTACGAATAGCAACCAATCTGGTTTCATTTAAAAACAATGACGATTTGACAAAAATACTACTAGGAGGATTTTACGTAGAGAAATTGGGGCTAATGAGGAATCAAAGTAGATTTCTACGAGACATCCAAGCGGATTTCCATATGGAATCCATTGGGCCTTTGTGTTTGGTATAACAGTCCTATAATATCCCGTGCATTTTTAAAGAGTACCTGCAATTTCGGCGGGAATATCGGTTCTTGGGTCGGATCGTAGGGCAAAAAGTCACTTTTGTCGAAAATCTCTTCTGGCTCCGATGTAAAGACACGCCTGCAGCAAGCGTCGCCCATTGCACAAGTTCTTTCCTTGCAGTCGTCGTCTGTTACTCGTGATCTTTCCCATTCCTCTGTGAAGGTCTTGTAACCTTCTATGATGGCTCGATAACCGGTGCATCTGCAGAGATTTCCTGTTTCCAACGTGGAAATACAATCATTATTACCACTTTTCATTCATACAAAATACATTACTTCTTTGCAGAAATCTACTTAGTAACGTTGTATGCAACTTGTATGAACTCAGGCACTCTGAGCAACCCAATTCTTTGAATAAAAGAAAATTTATTTACCCTTATTCCGTTAAATATTTCCTTTCAGTTAAAAAATATTTAGCCGATCGAAAAAAAATATTTCATAAAATTAAATAAGAAATTCGTAATTTAAAAAAAGACAATTTTAATTTAATAAAATGTTATTTTCAATAGCTTATATTTTTTTATTCATAAGAAAATGTTTAATGGAATAAGAGTGAGGGAATTTTCTTTGATTCAAAGAATTGGGTTGTCCAGTGCGCCATTTTTTATACACCGATAAATGGTTTTGATGCTTTTAGTATTAGTTTTTTATGTAAAAATTGTAATAAAATTGTACTATTGAAAAAATCACGTGGATTTGGAGAAATATTTCACAGTTGACAATCACTAAAAATGTGATTTCTTACATTTCCGGGATATATGCGTTTCGACCACCTTACACGTTAAGTTACGTATTAAAATTTATCATAAACACTAACTTGCACGCCATTTCATTCTTTTCGTGCAAAAAAAATTACCATGTCCAAAAATATTGTATTGTTTTAAGATCCATTACGAAACGAATATTCCACTCATGTTTCTCAACTCAGAGTACCATTAAAAAAACCTTTTCCTCATAAAAGTGGTGGAACAATGGTTTACGTGACACTTTACATGTAAAAAATACCTTGAAAAGCTACATCCATATCCTCCATAGTTGGCAACGGTTTTGTCCTCAATAGAGCATACATGGACATGACGATGCCTGGAGTGCAAAAACCACATTGGGATCCGTGAGCTTTTGCTATTCTCTCCTGTACAGGATGTAGTTTGGTTCTAGTACTACCGATACCCTCGACGGTAGTGACGGCCATGCCGTGAACTGCGCATATAGGCGTCAGGCATGCGTTTGCTGCCAAATGACTGGGCATACGAGATTCAGAAAACATATGCCTAACATTAAATAATAGGTTTTTAGGCAATTTTAAAATACAATTTTCGTTTCATGTTTGTGAAGTCTTTTGTATGACTTTGGTTTTGAGCTGTTGAAGCGAATGACATGTTGATCATAAGTGTTTTTAATTTTAATAAATTTTTCGAAGCACATTAATTGTATTGATGTAAAATCATTTTTGAAAGATAACGTCAAAATATACATTTTGTATGTGTTATTGTTCAATTTAAATCAAGAAATTACGAGTAACCGATGGACAATCCATTAATTGAACGATAAGAACTTTCTCTGAGCTGATCATTTCGATTGTAACGAAGCCATCATAGATATTAAGATAATAACGTTGTATGATTATTGAAAGATAATTCACTGAAAAGAAAAAATTTTTCAATCCAAATAAACGTTTATTTGAATGTAAACAAAAAAATGTATTTTAATAAAATAAATATTTATTTAAACCTGTTAAACATTACGTTGTAAGAAAGTCATGGATTTTACTTTAATTAATATTATTAAATTACTGTTTGTTTCATTCAAATAAAAATTATTTTTGCATTTAAATAAACGATCATTTGGATTTGCAAATTGTTTGTGTGATTTTTTCTTGCTACTTCTACTACAATAAAAAGGATACATGAGTTTATTTTGTTGCCGATCATATCTGGAAATCATGACAGTGCAGGCCCCACACCCACCTTCAGCGCAGCCAAGTTTAGTTCCATACAAGCGAACTATTTGTATCAAAAAAATTTAAGGAATAATATAAAAGTACCGGATTATTTTTTCACATCAAACATGTGTTTTATTTAAAAACGTCTTCTTAAAGGATACGCTTATTTCGGAGATAAAATAACAGTGTCCATTCGGGCTCCACATTGCTGTCTTTTACCTAGAATGTTTTCAAAAATTAAGCAAACGATTACAGTTTTTTTAAATATCGAAATAATTATAGTAATAACAATTAATGACGTTCCGTCTGTAAATTTAGGGAAGATTAAAAAATGCTTACCATAAAATTAAATTAAGGATAAATAAATCGCAATAGAAAATTGTTTAATACAGAAACAGGCTAAGTAACAATATTATGCCGATTTGTTTGATAGTTGAAAAGCCTCTGAATATTTATTTATCTTATCATTGTTGATATCTACAATGTTTTCTTATAATATGTATGGGACTCCATCTTTATCGTGTCATATGACATGTGTAAATTTCAATTAAAGTACTTTCTAAAGTTCTTGGAACGACATAAGCATACCATTGTTATGGTATACGATTCAAACATATTAATTTGAAAAAATAGATGTTCGTGTATCGATTTTATCTATTAATTATTACTTATGATGAAAAAATAATTACAAGAGTGCGTAAACAACTATAAGAAAAATACCTTGAAATTCACTAAATAATCCTCATCATTATATTTACATTCGTTTATGAACTAAATAATAATTTATGTTTGAGATTTATGCAAATAAATATTGCATGTCAGAAAACAAAATTGAATTTTTTAAAAATATTCTAACATAATGAGATCAATGCTTACTTCTTTTCCGTTCACGTAGAACACTAAAGTAGTGCTAATTTTTCGATCAAAATCTCCGTTCGACGGCTCCTCACACCTTTTCACTGTGTTATCAATTTCTTGCTTATACTCGTTCAAATCCATTTTTTCACCTTCAACACAATCATAAAAAATTAAATGAAATACTTTTTTGAATGTATGATTTGAAAAATACTATTTACTGCTGACTAATAAAAAAAATTTTATTGAGGCAGGGCTTTTTAAATGCGTAAGGTTCTTATTTATATTCCAACATAATATAATTCAAATTTCAAAATTATATAAAAGTATTATATTTCTGTAGAATGATTATGACCGCGTAAGAATAAGAAACTAATTAATTTTTCAGATAAGTTAGATTCTTATTTTATTAAAAAACAAGGCATATACAATATTTACTGAAACGTTAAAATAAAAAAATTTACTTTATATCTTTATCAAAACTTCTCTGTCAAGTTAGTTTTTTAACGTATTTTAGTCACCTTCATATAACCCTTTTTTTTTTTGTAAATTTTTTATTAAATTTTAAGGTAAGAGTATGATGTTTGAAAATATAGTTTCATATTCAACTGCTGTTTGTGTTATTATTTAACTGTAGATTATTGTTTCGTTTTAAATGATGTAATTTGCTGTTTTGTTTCATATATCTCTTTTCAACTATAGAATGAAATTTAATTCTTCTTTTACTGTTGAAAACTGCGGACTCAATGTTGTGAAGTCGAGACAACAGTTCGCTATGAACGGCTTTTAAATTTATAAACATTTTTAGTTTTATAGACAATCATTGCAAAACTATTAAAAGAGAATATTATCTGTAAAAATTATTAAAATGTAACGGAAACATTGGACACAATGCATTGCTTCACCTTACAACAAATGGTGCAATTCAAGTTTAAAAAAAAAAAAACTTGTTCATTATTATTTTTAGCCAATCAACAAACCAAGTTAACTCATTTACACAATTGTCATAGTTTTTTAGTCGGCAATATTTTTCAAATGCTCAATAAACACATGCCGTAAAAAAAAAAGTTCTTTAGCCGCTAATTTATTACGAAACTTCGGTTATCATTACCTGTAGTCTTTCACTTTTTGATATACAAACGAAGGAAATCCACTTTTATCAAACACTGTAAGCTACTTTTTAAAATTATATATCTGTGTTTACGTTATTTTAGTTTTTTTTTTAGTCCGAAGCAGCAATATTAATGGTATTATAGAGCAAATAAGTAACTTACTATGATTAAACAACAACAAAAATGGGAAATAACTATGCACTCACGTTTCATCGATTTTAAATTCACGTCTCTATTTACGTTTACTTGCACCGTTTTTCGAAACTGGAAATTCAAAATTTAAATGAGACAAACATCAAATACGACCGGCTTCGCGTCAAGTAATATATTTTCTGATCGATTTCCATCTCATGTCTTGGCTACCGTTCGAAGTTTAGAGTCATGTGTCATTGCACAACGGTCGTATATATCGATTACCATTTTAAACTGCACCCAGACAGTATCTTACAATCGAAAATGTTTATCATTTCTACGCAGTTCATTGCAATATCTGGAAATAAAAAAAAAAGTCTGTGGGGGGTTTTGTTACTAATTATTGCAATTTCGTTAAAATTGCTGTTATTTTTTATAAGAATTTCTTTGTCAAAGATAAAATAATTAAATTTTCGATGAGACTCCAGGTCGATGGACAAAATTTTGTTTAGTTAATATCTCGACTGTTACATGGTGTATCGTCTCTAAATTTTGTAAAAACATTTTCTGGCTATATGTATTTTAACGAACGTCAATAAACGTATTTAATTGAACTGAAAAACATTTCTTGGGTATTTTTTAATGCCCACAAATTTTTTCATATAATTTTTTTTTATTTTTCACAGATATGTTTCAAGGAGGTCATTGGGTTACAATGTTCACATAAGTATTTAAAATTACTTTTTTTTTTCGAATAATATTTTTTTTAATTTCTTGCCGTATTAACCATATGAAATTGACATTTTTAATTACGATTTTTCTCAATAATTCCCACTAAAATATTTACTGAATTTAAAAAAATGATTCGAAATTTTTTGGTTCGTAAATAAACTTATCTTATTTCCTGTGCTCTCATAGAAAAAGTTATCTATCGAAGACGTGTTCACATATTTGTGTGCATGTGCAGTAGGGGGTAAAGATAACATTAATCTAATTTGTATGAAATCAATTTATTGCCATCTTTTTTTTTCGCGTTATAAATCATCACCTCTTTTGAAAATTATTTGAGTAGATCGTTATTTATCGATAAAGGTAAAAATAAATCTTTGTCCTCAATTGATTAAATATGTTTTTCCCTTGATTAATTGATTGTTGATCCCAAATTCCAAACTCGAAATTGGAAAATTTGACATTCGAAAGTACACGAATATAAACCCAAACTTTCATTGTGCTACTCGTAACAATATAGTGAGTTAAAAATATACTGTTATGCAGTCTCAAGGTAAACATAATTAATTGTTTATATTTCTTAAACTCGTGGAAAATCATCCAAGTTGCTATTTTTCTTAAATCATTACATACGTTTTTTCTAAGATTAGTAAGAACCTATAATAATTTTAACAAATAAAAAATAATAACTGATAGTAAGAATTATGAAAGTTCATTATTTGTTGTATAATTTTTTTTTTTTTTCATCATAAATGTTATTCTAGAAACATCGAGAAAAATAGTGAATGAATAGAACTTTTATTGTTTGTCATCATTATTCGATACTTGACTTTTGAAGCTTATAAAAAAACTAATAGTAATAAACAATTGTTAATAACAGATTATTTTTATTGTGTTATATCAGATAAAAAAAATAAAAAAGAATAATCTTTGCGGGCATTTTTTGTACCAATCGACTTTGCAAACAAAAAAAAAAATAATCAACTATAAGTACTTATTAAGAAGTTTCAACAATAACAAATCCAGACTTTATAAACTGTTTTTATTTAATTTTTATGTTTTTAACTTACTGTTGAAAATAGTTATTATTGTTTAAAATTTGTAGTAGGAAATTTTTGTCAGTTTGATGCATCGCATCATTTTCAAAGTTTCGAAGATAGGGTAAAAAATGTTGAGATAAGAGTCCTTGAGAATACTCCGTGGTGGACTAAAATAACAATAAACGATAAAACGAGTCAAACTGCAAAGCACTTGCTTTTGATAAGAAATTTTTTTCCTGTACGTGAGTTGTTTGTTTTCTGATAGCTGTGCGATATTAGCTGAGCAAATGATTGATTAATTAGATACGATTATAAAAGAACATCGGCTGCACTGCATATTGCAAGCATTGAAATCGGCATTAAATGATGTTTTTCTCACATAGTTTTTTTGAATCACATAAACTGCATTTTTGTCGAATATTCAATGTCGTGCAGTTTTTTTTAAAATCTATTTATTAACTACGTAAAAATGATCAAACAAATATTATCAATGAATGCGTCCACCAGTTTTATTGTAAATGTAGAAATCATGGTTTATTAAACGAATGTACAATATTCAGCCATGCATTCAATACATTTTTTCGTAATCGTTAAAAACAGAGAAATCACCCATCATCAGCTATGAGTATTTTTTGGTATTCGCAGCTTACTATGCGCTGACTTGGGTACTTTGGCAAATAACGCTCCAAAACATCAGCCAAATCGGCAACATGACGGCCACGGTGACGTTGTAAAACCAGTTCCCGTAGATCATCGAGTCGATGATGCTGAGTACCAAGCCTTGCTTCGTAGCTCTGAGAGATCGATACAAAATAGTGAGAATAGCCTCGTCTCCGTAATTTATGTACGAGTAGATCAATATCGCGAACGACATGACGAAGAAGGGATGCAGCAGTAGCCATATCACGTACAAGAGTTTACGGAATCTGTTGGCAGGATTGTCGTAAAAAATTATGTACACATAAGCAACTTTCAAAGAAAAATGCCACGTAAGTAAGGGTTTGTTTACCTGCTGGAAACGGGTTGCTTAGGAGTGATGGATAAGGCGACAGGAACGTATATAACCGCAGCAAGCCATGCCAGTGAAAAGTTCTGCATAGCAACGCACGTTAAAGCCGTTGCGAATTCAACGCAAGTGATGACACAGATGAGAGCGATGTTGTTGTACTTTGCTATCCTGATAATGATAAAATTTTGTAAATTATTAGATTCTTTCTTTTTTTACACATGAACGCTCTTACCGTACCTTTTGATGGCAATTAAGGGCCACATGATTGATAAAACAGTAGCCGTTACAAAGCTGTAGTACAGCGCATCTTCAGTTTTCAAATTGAAGTATTGCGTTATCAGTGCGGTCGATAGTCTCGGGGAGGACATTAAAGTGAACCCTATGGCGTGGGTCCATAGTATTTCGGATGCTATGCAACCTACGCTGAACTCCGAAATCTTGAAAAATAGGTAAACGTTTAATACCAGTGGTGCAATACAAAAAAGGGTGAAGACACACCTTTACTTTGCTCGTTTTCTTGTCATCGGCGTTTTTCTGCTCAGCTTCTGCTTTTACGTTAATGTCTTGCAGTCTCAACCACATGGAGTAGGCTTTAATGAATAAACTAGCTACCATCAGAACCAGCGACAGCATGTAAAGAGCTGTAAATCGATAAAACAAAATGTCATTTCAGTTTGTATTATTGTAGATTATGAAATAAATAAATGAAACATTGTTTACATATAGAAATAAATCTGTCGGTGCAGGGAAGGATGTAAAAAAAATACGACTGGTGAAAACGTTCCAGTAAATTGTTTAGGGATCTAATGATACTTTCCACTACTCGTCCAACGTGGTACAAGTGATGCTTCATTTCGTTTTTACCACTGTCAAAACCTTCCAATGTGATGGCTTCAATCCCAAATCTGTTGAAATAATCAATTTAGAGTAGGTTTATCTTAAAACTATGCTACGATGCCCAATCAAAGTTATTTTTACCTGTGAAACAAACCATGATTTCCAGTTGGAATTCCAGTGGCTTGAGTTAATGTCATTGACATAAGAGTACTAAATTGGTACCACCATTTTTTCAGTCTATCTTTTTCATACGTATCGAAACGACGTTGGAATGATCTACGAATCCCTTCTTTGTTAATCATATTTTGGGCTAAGTTGAATAAATCTAAATTTGGTAACTGGCCATTGAGCCCTTCAACCTAGAATTTAAAAATAATTAAATTTCTCGAAATATGACTGTAACCTTAGCTAACAAAATTGTACCACCTTCACATCGATGGATGTGACAAACATCGAGTGCAGTTCTAAGTTTATTGCAGCTTGAATGGAGCCAGCTCTACCAGGCAAATCTCCAGAAATGAGGATGCCTTCGTGGCCACTGGTAACTCCGTGATAAGCATCTAGCCAGGCTTGAATACCTAATTGTTCATGTTCAGTCACTAAAAATATTATGTCCTTTGCCCAATATTTTTGTTCTGAAATGATTAAGGATAAGTGCTATATTTTTTTAAGGTTGACGTTAAAAAATGTTTTCTTTTGTCACATCAAAACGACATACTGCGACAGAATTGAGCAAAGGACAGTAGTAATGCTATTGATGCTGTAGTATCAGCATGAATACTGGTTAGCGGTCGATATGGCACACTGACGACAATTGCTTCAGTACTTGCAGCTCTTGGAGCTCTGATTATACCATAAACATTTTGTCCCAGGTACTGTAAAGTATAAACAATTTAATCACATGCAATAAATTTTATAATAAAAGCTCTTTTATAATATGAGAAAAGCTCGATTACCTTTTGATTTTTGAATGGATAGTTCAGTGTAAAGTTATGAGTAAAAACCTCGAGGTGCAACTGATGAAATTTAGCTAATATCCACGCGTAGGGCATGGAATCGGGAAATCTTTCCCTTTCCGAGCTCAACTCGTGGTAAAACTGTTTGGCAGCCGGCCTCAAGTTACTTTCTTTTTTCACCAGGCCAGGAAGCAATGCATTTTCAGAGTAATACGTATCTGGCAAAAAAAAAAAAAAAAAATTATTAACATGCCAAATGAAAATTGAAATAGTGGGCCGTAAAGAAGTGTACTTACTGTCATTGAAGTATGGCAACACCAAAAGCATCAGCCAAATGATTCCAGCAAAATACAACATGTAACAAAGTGGTCTTTCCCACTTCAGAATAAACTTGGCCATCTCTCCATTTCCAGCACGAGGATCTGTCAAAAGACCCATTGTCGGACTCCCCTGTATACTTAGCTATATGATGGAAAATAAACAAACTTCAACAACAGTATGGATACTGTGGATAATTAAATTAAATTAACGGAATTAGTTGCTCTGGGTCTTATATTGAGAACCCTGTTGTCTTCCCAGAAAATACTGAATTAAAAATGTTCTTGTGCCAATTCAAGTTACTTTTTGTTTTCGCGAATTAATAACTTTTTTTTAACAACCAACCGGTTGTGCCTTGTGCGTTGACATATACAAAACACCTATATGTGTGAATGATGCCACAAACACAGACGCAGCTAGCAGACGAACAGCTCGCTGAGCACAACTGATTTCTACCTTACCATTTGCCAAGTTTCAACAGTTTTGTCGCTAAAATAACTTTCTATCAAAGCTTGTACCGTTGGTAGGTAAGAGCAACACCTAATTTTTTGGGGACGCGGCGTTACCACCACGACCTACGTAACTTTACAGCCTCTGATTTTATCATCCTGGTAAAGAGAGCACGGTGTAAGATGTACGTGAAGTTATGTGTAGTAATTAAAGTAATTACTACCAAGTAATGCCATATGGTCGATTTTATTAAACCATATGAATATCTACATTTTTGGAGGTCGACTTTTGGGTAAAAAATAAATTGTAAACTTGCCGCAAACAACACAGTCTACGTTAACTTTTTATTATCTATTTATCAAATTAGTTGCGGTTGGTTTATTACTAATAAAATGGCTCTACTGTAAGTCATAATAGTTATTTGGATTAGCGCCATCTAGCGTTGCGAATTTCTGAACTAAAAAGTGGCCCTAAACTTTTGACCCACAGCATTAGCGCTTAGAGCCATTTAGCTAATTATAAACCAACCGCAACTCATTTTGTAGCTATAAAATTAAAAAATAACAGTACATGTGTTTTTGGCGGCAAGTTAACAATCTATTTTCTACCAAAAAACCGACCTCCTATGTGTTTATACCATTGAAGATAAATTTTCAAGCATAAAATAGATTTTTAGCTTGCCGCCAAAAACACTTGTATCGTTATTTTTTTATTTTATAGCTTTGTCATGAGTTGCGGTTGGTTTATAATTGATTAAATGGCTCTAATCCTGAATGCTCTGATTTAGAATTTTAGGAGCCACTTTTGGCCAAAAAATGAAGACCGCTAGATGGCGCTGATCCAAAATAATTATTGCTATTGCTTCTTACAGTAAAGTCACTTTGTTAGTTATAAACCAGCCGCAACAAATTGTATAGATAGATAATAAAAAGTTGAAGTGGATTGTGCTGTTTGCGGCAAGTTTACAATTTGTTTTCTACCCAAAAGTCGACCTCTAAAAATGTAGATATTCATATGGTTTAATAAAATCGACCATATGGCATTACTTGGTAGTAATTACTTTAATTACTACACATAACTTCACGTACATCTTACACCGTGCTCTCTTTACCAGAATGATAAAATCAGAGGCTGTAAAGTTACGTAGGTCGTGGTGCAGGTAGCGCCGCTTGGCGATCTCTGTGTGTTCCGGTGTTCTGCTAGGTATAGTAAACAAACTGGTGGTATCGTAATATCAAAGTACACGTGTGATACGTTACTCTTTAAAATTGTTTACTTAAAGGGTTTAGTTAAAACTCTTTATATCATGATAAAAGTAATATAGTAGCATAGATTGACCAAAATTTATTGTAGTAACAAATGAAAGTGAAAAATATTGATGCAAAGCTCTACATAGACTAATTTGTTTAGCCGAGTAATAAAATGATTGCCATTGGATTTGAAGGCAGTGCCAACAAAATAGGGATTGGTATCGTCAAAGATGATGAAGTTTTGTCAAACGTTCGCCACACGTACATCACTCCTCCGGGGCAAGGTAAACTTATTGACTTGATTTTTTTTTTTTTTGGCTGACTAAACTCGCTCGACTCGCAAACATTTGTAATTTTTTTTTTTTTTTAGGATTCCTTCCAAGAGAAACTGCCCAGCATCACAGAGAACATGTCCTTCCAGTTTTGGAAAAGGCATTGGAAGATGCAAAGATAACTTTGAAAGACGTCGATGTGGTCTGCTACACAAAGGGACCTGGTATGGGTGCACCACTGACAGTCACTGCACTTGTGGCAAGGACTGTAGCTCAAATGTACAACAAACCAATAGTAGCCGTTAATCACTGTGTGGGGCACATAGAGATGGGACGACTGATCACCAAAAGTGAGAATCCCATTGTGCTGTACGTTTCCGGAGGAAACACACAAGTAATTGCGTACTCCGAGCAGAGGTACAGGATATTTGGGGAAACGATTGACATCGCCGTTGGCAACTGCTTGGATCGTTTCGCTAGGCTGTTGAATTTGTCCAATGATCCCAGTCCTGGTTACAATATCGAGCAACTGGCCAAAAAGTAAAACCTTTTGCTTTTTCTTTTGGATTACCGAATTTTTAAAGAAAATTTTTACTTTTTAAGTCAATGCTTGCTTGCAGAGGTAAAAAGCTGGCCCCACTGCCTTACGTCGTCAAAGGGATGGACATATCGTTTTCAGGAATATTAAGTCATGCCGAGGAGCGCATAGACAATTGGCTCAAGTCCAACGAATATACTCCTGAGGATTTATGTTTTTCGTTGCAAGAAACGGTGTTTGCAATGCTGATTGAAATTACCGGTAAGTTTTACGTTATAGTTACTTTTTACCAAAGTAAATGTAACTTAAAGTTCGATTGCTTTCTTTGCTCATTGTTTTGGATGAAACTCGAGATGAAACTCGTGCAGTCAAAGTCTAAGTTACGAGGATGTTTTCATAAAGCCGACAACGTGGCCATAAAACTCTCGCAAAGCCCGTAATAGCCTCTGTTCCAAGAGTGTTACCGAAGGCCTGCACTCGCCTCACTTGTCTTTTTTCAGTGCTTAAACATAAATAGCCCCCTGTCTTTCTCAGCTAGTATATTAGAAAACGTAGCACTGACGTACACTCAAAATAGTGATGCAGCTCGAACTTGATCTTGAAATTCCTTGACTTATATTCGGTCGACCAAAAATAGACTGCTTTGAGAATATAGCCGATTTATTTTAATGCCTATTGATTTCCTTGCAACCGAGACCTCTTTTTTTCATACACACATATATATATATACATANGTATTTGAGTAATAAAACAATAAAAATATTGTTTGCCACAGTATTTTAAGAGAAATTACCTTATTTATTGCCAACAAAAATACTTCTACAAGTTTATAAATTGAAATAATCTGTCCAAATATTTAAATTCAATACCTTAAAACACTGCAGAGTGTATGTACATGCATAAATCTTTTTTTTTTTTTTCAACGTTGTACTAAAATTTATCAACTAATGTGTGCATGTTAACATAGATGCTGCTTTTTATGTTCGTCACCCGTTAAATGCAATAAATTGAATTACATCAACTAATGGAAAAATTTTCGCACGTATATGGACTTTAAGATACGTGTCTGAAATTTATGTAATTCAGTAGCAGAATGTAACTGTTTTTGTCACAGTAAAGACAATTTTTATTTCGCTGAAGAAAAATCCGACAAATTGGACAAGATTAACCCAAAAAATGCTTTTTACGTATCTTAACTAAGAACTTGCTTAAGCCGTAGTAGTTCAATGGCTGATGTCATACACACAAATTACTGTGCAAAAAATTTGTCGAATTGCGTTTCGATTAATATTTGAATACCTCAACATGAATTTCAACTTTTCAACCAGAAACCGATAATAATAATAATAAATTTTAACTTTCTAAGCGGAAACAATTGTAATTGGTAATATATGTATTTTAAATAGTAAGATAAAAATAAAAACAGTTTATAAAGTCTGGATTTGAGGCAACTAACAAAAACTTATTATTCAAAGTTGTCCGTTACAAGTTATTGTTAAAATTTTCTCTTTGTTTCTAGAATGACATTTACGACTGATAAAAAAGACTGATGATAAAAAATAGTATTACTTATCTATTATTTGTCTCAAATCTAGACATTTATAATGTTTGTTATCAATTTTTTTTTTTTTTTTTTATTCGTTAAAATAAAATTCACTTGTGTTGACTGCCTCTTTATGCTCACTACCATTGCTTAACAATGATGGTTAGAAATTTCAAAGTCATCTGAATTTTGAGTTCTGATTAACTTTGTTTAACGCATGGATAACGTAAACATTGATATGAACTATTTTTACAAACAATTTTCTAGTAATTTTTAATGGCTGCATAACGAATCATTAAAAAAAAATTCCACCTATTGATGTAACCAAGAAACTCGATATTTTATTTTTAGAAAATACAATTTATTAAATAATATTTTTTTGTAATATTTCTGCAATTTAAAAATTGTACATATATATATGAAAAAATAAGTTATGATTAACACAACGAGCTCAACTTTAACTTTTATTTACTTTGTATATATACATCGAGCCATAAAAAATATTTAAAAATTTGAGATGATTCTAAACATCCTAAAAGACAGATTTCCAAAGTTTTGCACTGATTTGTGCATTTTTATCGAATTCCTGAACATTCTTAACTGATATATAAAAACGTGGTATTTTAATTGATATCAAAACACGATAATTTTAATTTTCACGCCTTGTTATAAAGAATGCAGCAAATTAATTGATTTTGACAACAAACTATACGACATAAGATCTCAACTTTTTATTTTACATGAATACAATAGTTAACATTTATTTAAAAGCATGTAAATAGATACTCCCTAGTCCCCCTACTCGTGTCTATGTAGATACACACGGATGTCTCATGAAAAAAACTTAGTAAATTGTGATTTGTCTTATGAATACATTTTTTATTTATAGAGCGAAAGTTTTTATGAATGTTTCTCCGTAAAAGTCCATTTTTCTTTTTCATTTCCATTTTTCAATTTTTTAACACTAAAGTTACAGTTATTTTTCTTCTGACTTACGAAAAACTAAGTTCAAGCACGAATAACGAATAAGATAAGAATACCTATTATTGACCGATTATGAACGTATGACGTCATGTTTTTACTGTATTGAAGGAAAAGTACCGAAGCCTCGCGGTAAAAAGTACATAGTTATAGGTAATATAAATTTTTACAAAAAAACTGCTGTGAAGCAACGTTGAAAAACATATTAAAGATTCGTTGGTCACAAATTTAACGTTGCTTTAACGATAAAAATTCATCCAACACAAATATCCCTGTTCTAAGCAAATCACAATACATATTGTTACATTTATGCGCGTTTTTAGAAATTCCACAAATTTTTGTTTTTTCAACCTCGGATTGCTCATATTTTTCAAACTATGCAGGTACAGGTATTCACTTGAATTCAAGTGAAATGACCAAAGTAATCGTTGTACCGAAATCGCGGCTGTAAAACCTGCAGTACTCAACTACACGAAAAACGCCCCACATTGAACCCCGAAAAAGCCGAAAAAGCGCGCTCGACCGCAAATTCGAATAAAACCCGAAAATGTTCCGCAGAGCGAGCCATGGCCCACGTGGGCTCGAGCGAAGTGCTGATAGTCGGCGGGGTCGGCTGCAACGAGCGCCTCCAGGCCATGATGGGCGTGATGTGCGGGGAGCGCGGGGCCACGCTCTACGCCACCGACGAGAGGTTTTGCATCGATAACGGGGTGATGATCGCCGTAGCGGGACTATTGCAGTTTAAGGCGGATGGTAGAGGCACCCCCTGGATGAAGACCAATTGCGTGCAGAGGTTCCGCACGGACGACGTGCTGGTGAGTTGGCGGGATTGATCGAGCGGCGATAATTGAGGGTTCGCATGGGTTTGGGTGGGTTACGAATACCTTTTTAGTTTCATCAAATCGTTCAAAAAATATATGACGCATATACAAGACAATAAAAATTCATCACAATGTTTGTTGTAATTTCGGAGGAAAAGCGGCCATTCTTTCTGTAATTACGTAATAAATTATTTGGGTATACTTGGCACGCTCCTTTGGCTTTGTACCTTGGAAAATATGTTTCAAATGTTTCTCAAAATACGTGTTTTGTGAATTTTTTTATTTTTTACTCTTTTATCACTTAAGAAATTGTGTAAGAGAATAAGTGACCTATGATGTAAGATTGTATATTTATAAGATTTTGTATTTATTTACAAAGAATAAAAAGTTGATGATAAAAATAAAATTGAAAAAAAAAAACTTATCTTTTAGCCGCAATACTATCGCAGAGATAATCTTTCAAACCTCATTTTAAAAATTTTTAGCAGCTACACAAAGAATCACGTTGAATGAATTTCCAAACAAAAAAAATTTACATTCATTATCTATTTTTTTTAAATATCCATTATCGTGGTTCAAATTCTAAAACCATGTGTTAACGGTAAGAACTTATTAATATCCAATTTTTTTTATTCAACGTTTTTGTTGAGTATTGATAGTGATGTTGCGTGGTAATAACGACAGCAAAAACCTTTTCAAACAACCCAAACCCCATGTATTTATCCTCAAACTCTTTTTAATTATTCCTTTTTCTCCTTCATCCTTTTTTGAAATTGAAATTACCTATATTTTACTGTTAGGCATTAGAATCGTAAAAAAATTAAATCTACGTATAAAATGTTGAGTGAGGTAAGGTATGAATTAAATAGGAATTTAATTTTGTGGTTCTTTGTTTGGAAACAGTAATTAATAAAGTTTACTAGTTTGTTCGTTACTCAATAAACTTTGCTTCAACTCCGGCATCTATGGCAAAAGTTGTCTTTTATTTGTAGTTTTTTTTCCACCTTCTCGTTTTTCATTTAATCACGCTAATTAATATGTCTCAATAGTATATTTTTTAGTAACAAAATAAATATTAAAAACGTAAAAGATTGCGGTGTAAAAAATATTTATTTTCTAAAGTAGATGGCCTAAAGTGGATAGGCTCTTGTGTGCCAGCTCATGAAACGCGAGGGGCAAGGTATGGTTATCCGAGTATCTCCAATGAGTGAACACAGTGGTACAGCGTAATTACACGCAATTTTTTAAAAATTGATCATTTGATAGTAAAAAAATTAAAGGTATGTATATTTTGTGTTGTAAACGAATTGCTTAGCAGATATTTGGTTTGAATTGATATCATTTTTTACTTATTTAAAGAAATTTTTTTCAGACGGTGAGTATATATTACCAATTTAAGAGGGAAACAAAGCGATTGATGTCACAAATGAGACATTTTAAAAAATATTGCTTACTATTTTCAAGTTTTTGAGTCGCCGATTCAATAGTCGTTTAGATCTGAATATCGCTTTATTTTTATAAGCAAGTCTCTTGAAGTAGTTGTTTCCTACATCAACAGTATCTAAAGAGGTACGAAATTTTTATCAAAACTAATATAAGCGTCGAGAAATGTGTGTAAATAATTTGAGACCAATTTACCACGTCGTTATTGAAATGTCCTCGTCAAAAAATCACTCTCTTAACATTGGAGCAATGGTACAAACACTACATAGCCCCATTACTTTAAAAAGTGTAACTTACCCCATATCAATAAATAATTTAAAAAACTACTGAAAACTACCTTAGACAGTAAAGAAACACATATTTTTTTGAAAATTTTTCACCACACAGTTTTAAAGCAATAGTAATCAAGAAAGTACTCTTTGTTTGATTTTAAAAGATAGCCAAGTAAGTATCGCGTATGTGGCAACGTCACATTGTCATACGAGTACAAGTAGATATACATGTATGTGCTTATGTACGTATAAGTGTACGCAAAGGCATTCATATTTCTTTCTGATATTATGAATATTACATGAACAAAACCTTAGTATTGTATATCTATATATATGATCGACCTATATATTGGGAAACAACTACCTTAAGCTGTCGGAGATTAATTAAATTAGACCACAATTAGCACTTCTCATGATTTTCAAATTAATTATCTTCTGAATCTAGACTCCTGATTAGTATTGTAAATTTTTTTTGCCAGAGTTTTTCAATGCCGTTTTCACAACAAAAATAATTGTGGAAGATGCAATAAATTAAATTTTATTCCGTTGACCCCAAAACGCTTCCTATTGGTCAAGACCGTCGTGACGTCACGAATACATAAATATCTTTCCCTTCAACTGAAGAGGACACAAAAAGTATGGTTTTTAAATTATTTTCATTTTATTTTTGGGATTTTTTCAATTGAAAAGTGATCATGAGTCTAAAATATGTATCAGGTGTAGATCACTTTTTTTGACAAGTCGGCACTAAATGCGAAAATAAAGATCGTACAATTGCTTAACCTTATTTATATATCTATATATACATTACACGATGGCTAATAAATAAGAAGCCAATTGTGCCCTCGAGTTCACTAAAGACGACTCAAGAAATCTTCCAATAGTTGACGAAGGGATGATTTTTGACTTAATTACAACTAATAATCATCACACTATATTTTTTACTTTAAAGTTTTGTTTATATTTATTTTAAGGCCACTTTTCATACAAAAAATCGACGAAAACATCATCGCCAATTAGTCAACCTTGATAAAATCCGGCACTATTTACAAACGATCATCAAACGTACATAAATACAGTGTTATGTCAACACTCATAACTTTTCTTATTCTTCTTTCTCGTGGTACCTCGTGTCTTCTCTTCCTCCATACTCCGCAAGAAATTGCACACATCCCGATGGCCACAATTCACCGCGATCATGTAAGCCGTCGATCCTGCGCTATCTTTCTTGTCCAAGTCACACTTCTCGTTGCTCATTAGAGCGTAAACTGTGCTCAGAGATCCATTCTGAGCTGCCAATTGCAGGGCTGTTTTACCAGTCACATCCTCCGTTGCGTTCACATTGGCACCGGATGCCAGCAGGTGACAGATAACTACTTCTTTGCAGTTCTTCGCGGCTATGTGCAAACACGTCAGCCCTAAATAACCCAAAGGACAATTAGAAATCGCGATAAAACCCTCTGACCCCGAAGCTCATGTCATTCGTGATGGTGTCCCACCTGGTAAATCTCACCTGGGATATATTGAAAAATGTTTATGTTAAAAAAAAAAATTAAAAATTGATTTTACGGTATTGAAAGTGGCCCCTGTTTTTTAAAAATGAATTAAATCTCTTCAATTCTCAGGTGATATCTCATCTGAGAAAGCATCTGAGAATTGAAGGAATTTATATTATTCAAAAAAATTTTTTCAATTTTTAATTTTTCTCTTTTAGTGTAAATATCTTTTAACAAGTCCCAGCTGAGATCTCATGTGAGATTTTTCAGGCGGGGTCGATACTGACCTTCTCGGTTTTTTGATTCGAGGTCGAACTTTGGCCCCTGGCAGTCTCGTAAGTTCTTGTGTACCACCGGCCGGTCCTCCAGGTCGAAGGGCAACGTTAGAGCTTCCAGACAGTACACGTCGCTGTTAATGCAGGCCAGGTGCAGGGCAGTGTTGCCGTCCTCCGTTTCGAGTTGGACGTCCACGCCGGATAGCACGAGCTTCCGGGTCACGCCGGAGTTGCCCGACAACACGGCCAGGTGCAGGGCTGAGTGTAATTTGGAGTTGCGAATGTCCAGGACCTCGCTGTTTTTGACCCTGTTGATCAGCCATAGCGCAGCGTAGTCAAGTCTGTTCAGAATGGCTTTCGTCAATTGCCTGAAAATTTTTTTATCAAATTTAATTTAGTTTGCAGGTTCAATAGTGTCCATTGGCAAAATTAGTGGATTTTTTTTTTCTAATTTGATTAAAAAAAATTAAGGGTTGCATGCGCAAGTAAATTTATCGAATTTTAGGTTTATGAGATTGCATTTTTTAATTAATTTTGCGGAAAAACGCTAATAAAATTTTAATGTAATTTTAGTTTTACTAATCGATAATAAATAGCATACAATGGTAGGGAGAACAAATATAACACATGATGTAACTTTATTATACTTATACTTGATTTGATGTCAATGAATTTTTTTGTTATACAAAAACCGAAAAAACAGAGAGTAAATGCATTAAAGAATAAAAAAAAAAGTGTTTGAACGAACACTTACCCGTGGTGACATTAATGTTGAGAAATTAAAATTAAAAATACAAAAAACCCTCAAATTTAATAAACTAAACTATAAGCTAAATTGAGTTGATGTGTAAGTTCCAAACGGTTTACGCGTTATTAAACTGTTTTGAATATTTGTATTAAAGTGCAATTAAACGCATTATTTAAAGAAAAAAATGATCAAAATTGATAAATAAATTAAAAATTTATTGGTACTCACGTGTCGCCATTCGAATCCTGTTTGAACAACTCTTTGATGGACTCTCCTTTTTTAGATACTGTTTGTATCCACTCGGAAATTATTTTATTGTTCGCGACCATACATTTTTCTATTTCCGTTGCATGTTTGATCGCATTGTGTCCGTTGTTATTATTCAACACTTTTTTACACGTTGTTGTTTTGAAATACGGCCGATTGATTCGCACTGAATTTTTACGGTTCAAAAATCGACGAGACATATTTACTCGGGCACTTGTTGTACTCCGTAAGACACGTACCTATTATTGCACTTCTTGAGACTAAACTACTGTCAAACTCGTCTAGCAATCTGAACTGTCTTGGCTTGTAGGCCCGTGAAATCGGGTGAAATAGCGAGGCGAGAGAATAGGAAGACAATGCACGGAACAACCGAAGAGCCTCTGGTGAGAAAAACCTAAACCTGACTGCCCGCACGTATAAAATTATAAGTGTAAACTGTACTGTTACGAGTGGAAAATATCATGAGAAGCAAAGTTAAAATAAGTATCACGAAATGTTTGCCAAGTGTGGTTGACAAGTACAAGGAAGAACTAAAGTAAGCACTTACGGAGACGTGAAGAGGTTATGTCAAGCAAAAGACGTCTTCCCGTTACACACTCTTTTCTGCTCTATGTTACTCAACAAAATTTTATTAAATTTTGTAAGTGAGCTTCAAATCAACAATAGTATGACTCTTAACTCTTTGTTTTAAAATAAAAATTATAACAGTAAAGCATCCTTGAAGAAGCTCGCTCTTCTATATATCTTCAGCGATATGCACTGTAAATGAATCGGAATGAATCTCTAGTCATGGCGTGCATAGTTTCCACACGTTATTAGTATAAATTGCTGCATTTCATGACTCTGATGATAGCCCTGGGCTATGCGACGGCGCGGCGCTTTCACTGGTGACGTCATCAGTTGTGCTTGATATTTCGGAGGCGTATGCTTATAACACGTTTAAATACTTGATAAATCTTTCAACGTCATTAATGTGAAATTAAAAATAGATTAAATGGTATATTCTGTTATCATTTTTTTCAGAATTTGCGTCAATTAGACTCCAGTATACTGCCACAGTGGTCTACACGCGCGCTCTCTATGAACATTACATATATATGTAATAATGCGTCGTGCGCTGACTGCAGCGGCCTCTTCTCCAACAACTCTGCTCTTGATTGTCCGCCACGTTAGATCATTCGCTTAATCGATTTGTATTTTTTATGGTAAACTAAAATAAAGTTCTCTTCTATGTACTGCTGTTTTGTGTTTGTCATATTTTACTATGTGTGAACCAAATACTCTGCGAATTTTTAAAACTGCAAATTGTCTACAACTCGACGTGTATGAATTATTTTTCATCCTGGAGGAAATGGAGAATATTGTCTCACGTGGATTGAATGTTTCGATATTATAGCTTTTAGCTTGAGCACTAGTTATCGTTAGATCTAAGACATTCATTAGTAAGTAATCATTCCTTGTCCTTGTTTGTTGTTAATTTTTTTTAATGATCTAAATGATAATTGTAATGCTTCATTTGTGTTACATTGACATATATAATTAGTGAAGGAAAGAAGAAAAAAAGTATACACATTTTATGAGTGTTTAAACAATAGCTTTATGCGCGTACAGTGTCCGGATTGAGACTATTTATCATACATAATACGATTCTAGATTATTTTAACTTAACTAATATCTCTTAGATGTCACTACTTATTTTCGTAATTTCAAATGAATTTGTACATTTTACACATTACGGTCTGTTTATTTCTTACGGAGAACCATGAAAAATATACAAAATTTAAATAATGTTGTCATTTAGAATTTCATGTAAAAACTTTTCGTGTAAAGCAATCAAAAAAATTAATTAAGTAAATCTTATAACCAGAAAAACATTTCTTGGTCCGTGGATGAAATAAGCAAATGAATAAATTTTTCGATATCACACATTTATGAACCAAAAATGGGAAAAAATAACTATTGAAACCTTAATGATTATATGTAACAGAATATTATGTGCAGACTTGAGAATGACTTTTAATATAGTGATAAATTTTTAAAATAACTTAAAAAGTAATAAAATTTTGAATTTTTGACACTCACAGTTCAAGATCTGACGGTACATATTATTCTATTGTGCAAAACTGGTAATACCTGGGACTTTATAAAGTATTTTTATAGTCTAATTTCGAAATATTTTTGATTTACGCTTCAAGACTTATTACAAAATTTTTTCTAAATCTCGTCTATCTTCAAACATTTCCAACAAGTATTCAGGATAATTAGGATTTCTTGATTTTCGATAAATTTTCAGAATCATCAGAAATCATTGTTTTTCTAAATATTTTTGAATAAGACTTCTTATTGTCCCAAAAAATTTTTTCAATATGAGTTTGGGGAAGTTATGATGACAGTGCTTCTCTTTAGTTGCATTTAAAAATTTTTAATTTACTGACCCTACTTGCATCTAAACTTGATAAAATGAAACTACGAACAAACTTGTATACAAAATTGAAACATAAAAACTTAATGTTAGAAAGTAAAAGTTTATCATTCGTCTAAAATATGCAAGTATACACGGGCAAAACACTTAATTTACGTCTTACAAAAAAATTTGTAATAACACTTAATTTCCTGTCTTATACTCGTAATATCGAAAATATGTATGAATGATAATCTTTATAATAAACGGGCAAATTTTTAAACTTTCAAGAAAATACGCTCTTTCCGATAGTTTTATAATAAAATGAGACAAACATTTTGTTAAAAGTATCGTTCTACAATTTTTCTATCGAAATCATTTCATCCCTTCCTAAATAGTGTCTTGGATAACCTGGGTTTGGACAGAGAAAAGTCAAACCAAATAATAATTACCAAAAAAAAAAATAATAATTAAAAAAAGCCTTTAGTTATTATCACGTACAAGTATAGCTAAGAAATAAGAAAAAATGATATGACTACTTTTAAGATGGATCAGACGTCTTTCTTGATAACAAAGTAAAGGTTCGCATACGTTATTTAACTAAACTGATATGTTGCTTAAAATGATGTGCCACTGCGTTAAAAGTGAATTTAAGCACAATCTGCAACATTGAAATTCGTTATGCACATAAGTAATTATTCTAACAGATACAGGTGCCTATTAAGTAAGTTGTGTATCATTTGAAAGGGTTCACAAGGAGCCTTTCATTCAACCCAAATAAAAGTCACACTCTACAAACTTTTAAAACGAGTAAGAATCAAAGTCGAATTCCAAACTCCACTTAAGGTAGCTCCCTTGTCTACTGCTCTAGCCAAGTAGGAGAGTTTCACTTGTGTATGTATACGTATGTACGTACATCAGTGTTGGTATTTGGCTACTGTCATTCATTTATACCCATGAAGCTGATTTTCGCCTCTTTCTTGTCAAAGGTACAACTTTGAGCTGAAATATCTCGAGATTTTGCTCCACTAGGGGTACAAACGAGGACACCGTTGGATTCAGTGAATCAAAATCTATTAAATGAAATATATTTTATTCCGTAGGTTTTCGCAAGGTTTTTTACAAGGTTTTACAAGCTTTTACACTTAGTCTTGGAAAAAAGGTGCATAGCAACAAAGGTATACACAGGAAGCTCGCCTACGATGGATGTGACCATAAAGCCAATCTTGCTGATAATACATAAATCTTTATATGCTTTATCAATGAGCAATCTATGGTAGAAGAAGACAAAGGATGTGAACTGTAGATGGTGGGTAACTCGTTACTTTTTTTGTGCGACAGTGCACCATTATTACCTACGTTAATCGTAACCGATTGCCACTTCAATGCTTACATTTAACGTAAGAAATTTTTTATTTACTTTCAGATGATTATATAAAACATTTTCTTTTACTGCTATATTTATTACTGATCATAATGCAATGTAGTACAAACGAATTGCACTAACGTTTTTTCATTGATTTAGAATATTTAAAATAAAAATTACAGAATTCAAATGCTGGTTACATTAAGTAAATAACTTTGCTTTCTCTGTATGGGCTCGTTGATGTCCAGTTTGCTCCTGGGCCATTCAGAAGTGTATATGCTTGAGCTCGCTCCTGCTAATAAAAGTTCGAACTTTGGATGATGATAACGAAGTACTTCCTGATTTATTACCTAAATTAAAACACTGAATTTTACTCATGCGTACTCTTTGAAATCATTTTTATACGCACTAGTATAGTGTATTATTATACACTAGTTTGTTCTGAAACTATAAAATGTATCACTAGTAAAAAAGGAAAAACTCCTACAAGTTGAGATAAGTATACTTTTAGTTCCCATAAAATGTTGAGCAATTTACGAAGCAAATTGATAAATGTAATCACCTAGGCAAACGTATTTTTCTTTTCTTTTTTATTTGTTTTTTTTATAACCAGCTTTTCTTAATTGAAGAGAAATAAGCAATAAAGAAAAAAAAAAATGCATATGTACTATGATGTGTTTAAGCTACTTCCTTTTTTTTTTTTTTTTTTTTTTTCCTTTTCCGCTACCACTAGTTGTGCTCGGGAGCAGAGCGATGGTCTCGTTTGCGAGCCAAGTTTCGATAATGCAGTTTTGGATTTGATTTTTGTACCGAGTCGGGCCTTGGAATTCGGATGAAGGGNATGTACAGAGCATACCCTACCTACGATAGAAAAATGTTTGACTGTTTATTCATTCGTGTAAAAATATTTATATATAAGAGGACACGATGGCATATTGTAAACATTAATTTATTACACCACTCGAGTTCTCAAGTAAGTGTCATGAGTGCATGTATATCTTAAAGTAAACAAAGCAGACTACACAATTCCAACATGGCGGAATTACAGATGTGCGCAGAATCAGTCTCAATTTGAATCGGTTTGGTCACACACCTTATTTACTTACATCATGTACATACCGTATCTCTTTCTCTTTTTAATTATGAGAGTAGTGGGGAGACTGCGAAAGGAGAACACCTGAATAGCTGATGCCCCTCCATCTGCGGAAAACTTATGCTGAAAAAAATATCGACGTAAAGTTACGGAGTTAGAGATTCTACAGCCACAAGTAGTCGCTGGACAGTGAGTCCATGTGGTTACGAGAATACACAGAGTAGCATGGTTGTCTAAAGTCAATAATTTTTTTCGTTAACGTCAAGATCCTTTCTAATAGCCCGATCATGTCAATTAGAATCCATAACTCCTTAACTTTACGTTGATATTTTTTTCAGCA